GGGTGGCAGAAATTCTGGCAACTTTTTGTCAGGTCCCCGCGAGTGGCATCTTCTGCTGGCTGCTCAACGCTCGCGTTACCCTCAGCTAACCATTCACCGCAAGCGGCGGCTTCTTGCACCCACCCCCTGCGACTTCTCTGTGCCGAACACAGCGAGCAGCAGGTTCGCATACCTCCGCGCCATCGCGGTTATGTTCAGTCCCGCCGGCAGTGTTTATTACGATGCATGCTCGCTACCTGACTCGGCGCTTGTTGATGATGTCACTACTTACAGTGGGAGGACCAAACACCTTCCACGTGTGACAGTTAAATCTGATTGGAAGCTAGCCAATCAGAAACTCCCTAAACATATTTAACCTCACCTCTTCCGTTCCTTGTTGCCCTGTTGTGGTCTTTTGATAGCCCAATAGCGCGTATACTCTGTCCGTTTGTCTGATTATCTGGTTAGCGAAAGTTTGGCTTGTCTTATCGTTTATCCTGCTCTCTCTAACCACTGACCTTGGCTTGACTTATCAATTATTCGGTCTCTCTGGTTTCGTCTGACTTTGGCTTGTATACTGACTTCTCTCTGTGTTCTCAGACCGGCCCTCTAAGGACCGGTATGGCACTTTCTGTGTCTGTGTTCTGTCAGCGTGTTCCGGAGTTCTTGACACTTTTGGTCTTCCTCAGGACTCACTTGCACAAGTAGGACTGTCTACAGCCAAGTCACCTCACCACTGGGACCCGGCCAATATAAACCAATTTACTCCTCAAAGGTCTCTGACTACTACTTGAGCCCTGAATAGAGGCCTACTGCGATAGGCTCCATTTGAACACCACAAGTTTGTTTACATTTTCTTGTCAACCACCTAATATTTTACTTAAATTTTGTACAGTGATGACAATCATCATGCTCTCAGAGTGATACATACCTTCCCCTATTTGATTGTATTATTAACAATATCTATTTTTTTGCTTAATGACGAAACACATTCTCTACAGTTCCCTAGCATACATTGTCCATTTTTCTGTAAAATTTTACCTGAGGTTAGGGATGATGATATTGCAGTCCAGGTAATAAATATTCAAGGTGTAGTCGAACATTATTTGTTTATCTCTTCTAATATAAAAACTCAGTCCATAACTTACATCATACTATATCTATGAAGCTATGAAGCTACATGCGAAGATATCATTGTTGTATGGATGACCATATTATTTGCTGTCTTGTTTCCTGTCTGTGGGTTGAACCAAAAAAAAAAAGAAAGAAAACATTTATTTGGCTATGCTTTATCCACTCCCTCATATTAGTGCAAATTTTATTTTGTTTTATTTCATTCCATGTTTCCCTGTTAAGAATTGCTTTAGTCTAGGCTATTTAAGGATATTCTGTGTCTCATAAATGACAAATTCAAGTCTCTGATTTGCTGCAAGTGGCACTATCAATTGCCTATCTATTTTCTGCAACAACAGATAAAGTGCTCTGTGTAGCAAAGTCATCTGACATTGTGCTACCTTGATAAGAGACAACAGCTTATTATCTTTACCTTTTCAGACAAATTCAAATTCTATCTAGCGCAAATGCCTCTCCGCAAATTGTGCTCTGTGATATTGCCTTCTCTGAATAGTTTAGGATATTTAAGAGTATAATTTGAGGCTGTTTTTAGATTGACTTTTTAGTCTCAGTAACAGTGAAAGATGATTTTGCAAGCATTAGAAGCTATAATGTAACGCCAATGAATAAGAAATTATCATCAAGAGCTGATGGCCTATTATAAGGAAGCTACATAAAAAAATGAATACATATTGCGAATTGGCCTGCAATTTACTGTCAATTTTGAACAATCTATATATAGCTTTTATAATGTTTTATCTTTTTATTTGATTTGTTTTCGGTAGCAATTAGTGAATGCTGAAAACGACTTGGATGTACCCAGTTTCAAAGGTTTTTTTTCTTCCAATCTGCAAACAATTTATGTGGTAAAAATGAAATATATATGGGCAAAACAGACTTCCCTCTTGGGAATCTCTGCAAATATACACAAAGTGGTTTAATCACCAGTCTATAGTGAATTGAACTTTGAGTTGCGTGATCCAAACTTAAATTCAAATAGTGATATTTGGAGAATTTTTACAAACAAGCATTTTTTCCCCTAAATGTTGCCAGTTGGCTTTTAGACCTTTATAATGTGGTTTTCAATTAATAAACTCCACAGGATTATTCGCTGTAGTGTTAATGGTTGGGAATTGAAAGTGAAGTTCAACTTTTAGACCAAACCAGCTGAATAAAAACAGAGCTGATATTGTTTCCCCATTTATCTATTTATGCCAAAAACTTGTGCTTTGAATTCTTGACAGTTCATTCCCTGGTGAATTATTCTGACAAATTATTTTTCTTTGCACAAAATGAAATCTCTTCTGACAAAACAAGGTGCTCATTTTATTATTTATTTATTTTTGTTTTACCAGAAAACCCATTAAAAAGGAATCATAACTTCTCTAGAAAGTACAACATTGCATAAATGTAAAAAATAAATAAAAAAATTAAACATTCATGTGAGCTTTGCTTTCATTTAAATTTATATAAAATATTTTGCAAATGTCAAGACAACCCAGTTATGTCCAGGCAGTGCTAGGGCACACATTGTATGTATGTATGTTTCTTCTCCTCTATATGATTTCTTTATACTGACTGCCGGGGCAAAGGACAGAGCTTATAACAACGATTGACAGGAACCCAAGATAGATGTGCCCAGTCGTAGGATAAAGAGATGTGGATTACATTTAATTTCATTTTCACAACATTATATATATATATATATATATATATATATATATATATATATATATATATACACACACACACACACACACACACACACACACTCCACATCATCCCTTGTCCATTTGTCCATTCCTTCTGCCTTCCTAATAGTAGGATACAGATATTAATACAGATATTAAATTTGAGGTAGGTTCCACCAATGCAACTAATACATATGATGTACACAAATCAAGACATCTAAAATCTTTTGAACATTACATGTGTCTTTAGATACTAAAGTAACAGTTTTCCTGAAATTGATGAGAATTTTTCGGCATTTTTACAGTAACCCCATTAGTGTATCCAAAAGATTGTTAACAAAGCGGTTAATTGATTTATATAATAGAGTTTTGTTTTTATATCAATGATTTAGTTATTTTTTAGTTCGCATACAGTGGCACTGTCTTGAAATTAAAAGTATTCTGACAATGTGTTTTCATTCTTGTTACATTCGATATACCAATCATTTATGACCTCAGCGATATTGATGACAATACCATTTTTAATCAATTTACAAGAATCCATTATTCCTTTAAAAACTGTACAGTGTATGAATTACAGTGTACAGTGTGTGTGTATTCTGCTAAATAATTGCTACGGAATGTAATATTGGCTGCAATATAGCTGTCTGAAATACTGAGTGAGTGTTCAGTAAGCTGAGAATATCAATAATTGATATATATTTTATACATAGACAATTAATGATGTTACCTCTTTTTTTTCTTTAACAGACCTTGGGAAATTAACAAGAGGAATCTCTAAGGAGAAACATCACTCACTGCACGTTTGTCTGGATTTTTTTTTGTGTTTCACCTTGTGGATGACAAAGAAGTAATACAAATAAATCTCAAAATCAAACTTGTCACATGAAAAACTTTGTGTTTCATAATTTTATTTTGAACAGTAAAGCATCACAGATATCAAAGATCACAGATTTAAAATAATTGTTGTACAATTTGGGTACCATGGTCTATTTAAAGTAACTTGCTGGCGTTTAACATGGTTATTCACGGAAAGGGACACTATAGTCACCACAGCCAATACAAACAAATGTATTTGTTCTAGTGTCTTTACCCTATCCCTGCAGCCTTAGCGCTGTAAACACTGCCTTTTACGAGAAAAGGCAGTGCTTACATTGCTCGATAGTTACATCTCTAGTGGCAGTTACTAAGATGGCCACTAGAGGTACTTCCTAGTCAAGTTAAGCAGTTTGCATGGAGGTGCTGAATGTTCCCTCTTAAGATACATTGATACAATGCATCTCAACGAGGAGATGGTCACTGGCGCAATGCTTTTCCACGCATGCACAAGAGCCTCCCAATGCTTTCCTATGTGAAAGCATTGAATTGGCTGAGATCATCAAGAATGGTGTGGGAGAAAAGAAGAGTGAAATTACCTTTAATCTCCACTGAGAGGGAGGCCGGGATCTAAACGGTGATTCCGTGTTTGTATTCCTAACACTATAGTGTTCCTTTAAGTAAGAATTGCTGTGAGTCCAAAGTGAATCCCCACATTTACGTCAAAACAGCTAAATCAGAAAATTCTCCTGGTCAGTTCTGTTTTCACTTTGGCCATTAAGGGATACTCCAACCCTTTTTGGTGAACAGTAATTAGTCTAATTACAATGGAACAGCGCCAAGGGACTCATGGCGTCATAACTATTACAGGAGACTGTAGTAGTTTTGGTGCTTAGAGGGCCCATTTAAATCTATTAGCGTTGAAACATGTACCATGCTCTCCTAGACACATCACTTCTACATTCTGTAGGTAACTACATAAAAGGTGCTGCCCTGTAGTATGTATGATGGGAATACTGCAGATGCACAATAATGGAGAATGACAGTTTCTTTTTATTGGACTAAGATGTCTGTAGTGACAAGCTTTTGGGAGTTCCTCCCTTTTAAAGGATAAGGTATTTTGACCACCGAAAAACAAGGAGAATAATCCCCCGCCCCCCTCCAAAAAAAGAAAATCTTTATGAAATGTTCATAGAGACTGTGTAGTAATTTACTGAAAATCCAACCCAGTCAATAGATATAAGACAAAATAGGGACTACTGTATTTTTTATGCTTGACAAGCTTGGCAGAAGGCAAAGCTACACAGTGATGGCTGAGGGGAAAGAGTTATCAGTGTTGTATCCTTGCAAAAGTACACTGAGAACATTGGCTCCTTGTAGATGAAGAGGACCTTGTAGAAAATGGAGGTGCTACCTACCGCTGCACCCCTGTGCCAACAAACAACAAGCAGAGAAGTCGCCATCTGGGATCTTTACATCATGAGGTGACAGAGCCGTTTAAATGTTTTACTGTTGTGAGAGGTTATATTATTTGTGACATTGTTTGCTGCATGGTACACACACCCTGCAATAAACCACGCTACAAACTGTGTCAGCAAATCTGCACAAATACTATAAACACTTACAGCAGTAAAACATATAAAATCCAGGGATCATGTACATCAAGAAATGTGATCAGGGATCTTACATGGATCAATCCATCCAACATCAAATTGAAAGAATGAACGCACACAGACATCTATAACACTTCATGGAGAAAACCATTACTGCACAACAGTTAGACACCACTACACACAGAAAGGCTATTTCATTCAGGACATTAAAATCAGAATAATCTAAAGGAACTTGGGTAAAAGTGTACTTTTGCGTATTTTATTATTTTTCAATTTTACTAAAAGCAAGTAGCGTATTTTATTATTAACAGTCATTATTAAGTAAAAACATTGTGGGCGCTGCAGTGGGTCCTGTGTGTCCATTAGGGAAGCCTGCATTGTGTGCTCTATGTGCATAGTACACGGATTGCTGTGTGTTCAAAGGAATACCTTGCATTGGATGCTCTGTGTGCCCATCAGGGTGTCTGTAATGAATGCTGCTCTGCCAAGGAATATCCTTAATTGGGTGTTGTCCTATACTAAGTACTGTCTGTACCAATGAGGGTGCCCTGCAATGGGTGCACCTGCAATGTCTGCGCACAGGAATACCTTGCATTGGGTGCTGTCTGTACCAGTGAGGGTGCTCTGCAATGGGTGCTGTTTGTGCCAGTGGGGGTGCTTTGCAATGGGTGCTGTCTCGGCCAGTGAGGGTGCTTTGCAATGGGTGGTCTGGGCTAGTGAGGGTGCTCTGCAATGGGTGCTGTCTGTGCCAGTGATGTAGCTCTACAATGGTGTGAGGGTGCTCTGCAAATGGGTGCTGTCTGGGCCAGTGAGGGAGCTCTGCAATGGGTGCTGTCTGTGCCAGTGAGGTAGCTCTGCAATGGGGTGAGGGTGCTGTCTGGGCCAGGGAGGGTGCTCTGCAATGGGTGCCGTCTGTGCCAGTGAGGGTGCTCTGCAATGGGTGCTGTCTGGGCCAGTGAGGGTGCTTTGCAATGGGTGCTGCCTACACCTATGAGGGTGCTCTGCAATGGGTGCGCACCATAATAGCAATGCAAAAAAAAAAAAAATTACGCTATAATACATGTGAACAAAACTGTAAATAATAAAATACGCTAAAATACACTTTTACTGGAACTTGAAAAATACAAGGGAAAGCAGAGACCATATTTTTCTTTAACAATCACTAAAGAGTGATATTTTTCTTTAACTCTAAAGATAATGGACTAAATGTGTGTTGGGGCTTCTTAGAGGAGATTTTATACTTTTCTACCCTACCATTACGTGTCACTATACCCCACTCCCTCTGGCATGTAAACTTATTGAGCAGGACACTCAACCGCCTTTGTTCTTATGTGTTCAACTTGTCGGGTTTACAAATACTTCTCTGTTAGTCCACCCATTATACAGCGCTGCAGAATTTGTTGGCGCATTATAAATAATATTAGGAGTACTTTGCTCCTTCCCATTGAACTGGTATATACTTTTGACACTACAGCCATATATATGTATATATACAATCAGCGCTGTATTTGCCGCAAGGCAAACAAAGACTTTGTCTTGGGCGGCACTTTCCAGGGGGCGGCAAAAAAGCACCACCCCAAATGCCCACGCTAATGCCTTGTTAGCCTCGGGGCAGGCAGAAGCTGAGCTCCAGGCAGGCGGCGAGGGAGCGCTGATTCGTGAGCTCTCCTTGCGTCATATTCCGGCTCCCAGCATCACTCTGCGGTGCGTGAGGGAGCTGAGCAGAGAGAGATCATAAATCAGCGCTCCCTCGCCACCCACCTGGAACTCAACTGGCCGCCTGCCTGCCTGCTCAAACAGCCCGGCCAGCAGCCCCACTGGTTCCCAAGTAAAAAATACACCCAGCTCTCCCAAAGGTAGGGCGGCTGGGTGGATTTAAATTTAAAAAAATAATCTGCGAGTGTTGGGGGGAAATGTGTGTGTGTCTGTCTGAGTATGTGTGTGTATATCTGTCAGTGTGTCTTTCAGTGAATGTATGTCTGTCAGTGTGTGTGTGTGTGTATGTGGCGGTGTCTGTCAGTGTGTGTCTGTGAGGTAGCATGTGTGTCTGTCAGTGTGTGTCTATGAGTGATTGTGTGTGTCTGTCAGGGAGTGTGTGTGTGTCTGTCGGTGTGTATCTGTGAGTGAATGTGTGTGTGTCTGAGTAATTGTGTATGCCTCTCAGTGTGTGTCTGTCAGTGAGTGTGTGTGTCATTATGCGTGTATGTCAGTGAGTGTGTGTGTGTCTATCAGTGATTGTGTATGTGTGTTAGACTGTGTCAAATCAGTGAGTGTGTGTTTGCCAGTGTATCTGAGTGTGTTTGTCAGTCAAAGGGTGTGTTAGTCTTTAACAGGACGAGGTGTGGGCTTGACAGTAAGGGGTGGGGCAAATTTAAATTTGGGGGTACCCGAGATCCGCCATGCCATGTATTGTATCCACCAGTTGCCCTTCTCTAACTTGCTGTCTTCTCATTCAACTCTTCTTTCCCCAATTCTCCAATCCCGGGAAGCTTTACGAAACCCTTGAAGATTTTTTTGTTTTTGCTGCTTTCCCCTCTGCATTACAGTTATCTTAGTTTGCCTTTTCCATTGTGATAATACCCATTGTACAGCGCTACGGAATACGATGGCGCTATATAAATAATAAAAGAATAATAATAAAAATAATTGGGAATGCTTCAGATCTGTCACTACAAATGTCTCAATATTCCAACAAAACAAGGGATGAGAAAACTTCATTATTTTACATCTCCATTCCTGGACTAATAACCTCACCTCCAATACAGTCACATGTAATGCAGGGTGGAGCTAACCCACACTAACCCCAACACAGTGTCCTTCATTGGTTACCTGACTGCACCCCCCCCCCCCCCCCCTCCCCCTCCCCCCAATGCAGCACTTGAATGCTGCACATGAATGCTGCATACTATGATGTGTATACACTGCATACAGTGAATGCAGCCATGGTGAGCTCTGTATAAGCTGGGGGTCACTGTGTATATGGATTATATAGAGAGACATACAGGCAGACAGGCAGTCAGGGTTCTCCAGCCAGCACCTCCCTCCCTCCCTCCATCCTCCTCTGGAGCCCGGAAGTGACGTCACCAGCAGCAGCAGCAGCAGCAGGTCTGCCCAGAGCAGGGCTCCACACGTCACTTCCGGCCACCGGAGCCGCGCCGTCCCCCCGGTCACGTGACCCGCCGACAGCCGGAGGCGGGGCCAGCGCTGTGAATGCCGGAAGCGACATGGGCAGCGATTGGCTGGGGCAACAGAACGGGTCCCCGTGACCGCCGGTGAGAAACAGCTAGAGCTTGCATGCCGCCTCCCGGGATCCCCCCACGCCCCCCCGTGACCCGCTGGCAATGGGGGCAGTCACTGGGCTAATACACCGACACACACCGGCCGGGTAATAACCACACAGATACAATGTAACACTGCCTGCCTGTATAGAGTTATTACACAGATACAATGTAACACCGCCTGCCTGTATAGAGTTATTACACAGATACAATGTAACACTGCCCGCCCTGTATAGAGTTATTACACAGATACAATGTAACACCGCCCGCCTGTATAGAGTTATTACACAGATACAATGTAACACTGCCTGCCTGTATAGAGTTATTACACAGATACAATGTAACACTGCCTGCCTGTATAGAGTTATTACACAGATACAATGTAACACCGCCTGCCTGTATAGAGTTATTACACAGATACAATGTAACACCGCCCGCCTGTATAGAGTTATTACACAGATACAATGTAACACCGCCTGCCTGTATAGAGTTATTACACAGATACAATGTAACACCGCCTGCCTGTATAGAGTTATTACACAGATACAATGTAACACCGCCTGCCTGTATAGAGTTAGTACACAGATACAATGTAACACCGCCTGCCTGTATAGAGTTATTACACAGATACAATGTAACACCGCCCGCCTGTATAGAGTTATTACACAGATACAATGTAACACCGCCTGCCTGTATAGAGTTATTACACAGTTACAATGTAACACCGCCTGCCTGTATAGTATTACACAGATACAATGTAACACCGCCTGCCCTGTATAGAGTTATTACACAGATACAATGTAACACCGCCTGCCTGTATAGAGTTATTACACAGATACAATGTAACACCGCCTGTATAGAGTTAGTACACAGATACAATGTAACACTGCCTGCCTGTATAGAGTTACTACACAGATACAATGTAACACCGCCTGCCTGTATAGAGTTATTACACAGATACAGTGTAACACCGCCCGCCTGTATAGAGCTATTACACAGATACAATGTAACACCGCCTGTATAGAGTTAGTACACAGATACAATGTAACACCGCCCGCCTGTATAGTTATTACACAGATACAATGTAACACCGCCCGCCTGTATAGTTATTACACAGATACAATATAACACCGCCTGCCTGTATAGAGTTATTACACAGTTACAATGTAACACCGCCCGCCTGTATAGAGTTATTACACAGTTACAATGTAACACCGTCCGCCTGTATAGAGTTATTACACAGTTACAATGTAACACCGCCCGCCTGTATAGAGTTATTACACAGTTACAATGTAACACTGCCTGCCTGTATAGAGTTATTACACAGTTACAATGTAACACCGCCTGCCTGTATAGAGTTATTACACAGATACAATGTAACAATCAGCCTGGCCTGTATAGAGTTAATACGACAGATACAACAACACCGCCTGTATAGAGTTAGTACACAGATACAATGTAACACCGCCTGCCCATAGAGTTATCACATCGATACAATGTAAACCCCTCTGCCTGTATAGAGTTAGTACACAGATACAATGTAACAATCAGCCTGCCTGTATAGAGTTATTACACAGATACAATGTAACGTCCGCCCTGTATAGAGTTATTACACAGATACAATGTAACCCCGCCTGCCTGTATAGAGTTATTACACAGATACAATGTAACACCGCCTGCCCTGTATAGTTATTACACAGATACAATGTAACACCGCCCGCCTGTATAGAGTTAGTACACAGATACAATGTAACACTGCCTGCCTGTATAGAGTTATTACACAGATACAATGTAACACCGCCTGCCCTGTATAGAGTTATTACACAGATACAATGTAACACTGCCTGCCTGTATAGAGTTATTACACAGATACAATGTAACACCGCCTGCCCTGTATAGAGTTATTACACAGATACAATGTAACACCGCCTGCCTGTATAGAGTTATTACACAGATACAATGTAACCCCGCCTGCCTGTATAGAGTTATTACACAGATACAATGCAACACCGCCTGCCCTGTATAGTTATTACACAGATACAATGTAACACCGCCCGCCTGTATAGAGTTATTACACACATGCAATGTAACACCGCCTGCCCTGTATAGAGTTATTACACAGATACAATGTAACACTGCCCGCCTGTATAGAGTTATTACACACATACAATGTAACACCGCCTGCCTGTATAGAGTTATTACACAGATACAATGTAACACTGCTCGCCTGTATAGAGTTATTACACACATACAATGTAACACCGCCCGCCTGTATAGTTATTACACACATACAATGTAACACCGCCTGCCCTGTATAGAGTTATTACACAGATACAATGTAACACCGCCTGCCTGTATAGTTATTACACAGATACAATGTAACACTGCCCGCCTGTATAGAGTTAGTACACAGATACAATGTAACACTGCCCGCCTGTATAGAGTTAGTACACAGATACAATGTAACACTGCCTGCCTGTATAGAGTTAGTACACAGATACAATGTAACACTGCCCGCCTGTATAGAGTTATTACACAGATACAATGTAACACCGCCTGCCTGTATAGAGTTATTACAAAGATACAATGTAACCCTGCCTGTATAGAGTTACTACACAGATACAATGTAACACTGCCCGCCTGTATAGAGTTATTACACAGATACAATGTAACACTGCCCGCCTGTATAGAGTTATTACACAGATACAATGTAACACCGCCTGCCTGTATAGAGTTATTACACAGATACAATGTAACCCCGCCTGCCTGTATAGAGCTATTACACAGATACAATGTAACACCGCCTGCCCTGTATAGAGTTATTACACAGATACAATATAACCCCGCCTGCCTGTATAGAGTTATTACACAGATACAATGTAACACTGCCTGCCTGTATAGAGTTATTACACAGATACAATGTAACCCCGCCTGCCTGTATAGAGTTATTACACAGATACAATGTAACACCGCCTGCCCTGTATAGAGTTATTACACAGATACAATGTAACCCCGCCTGCCTGTATAGAGTTAGTACACAGATACAATGTAACACCGCCTGCCCTGTATAGAGTTATTACGCAGATACAATGTAACACTGCCTGCCTGTATAGAGTTAGTACACAGATACAATGTAACACCGCCTGCCCTGTATAGAGTTATTACACAGATACAATGTAACACTGCCTGCCTGTATAGAGTTAGTACACAGATACAATGTAACACCGCCTGCCTGTATAGAGTTAGTACACAGATACAATGTAACACTGCCTGCCTGTATAGAGTTAGTACACAGATACAATGTAACACCGCCCGCCTGTGTAGAGTTAGTACACAGATACAATGTAACACCGCCCGCCTGTATAGAGTTATTACACAGATACAATGTAACACTGCCTGCCTGTATAGAGTTAGTACACAGATACAATGTAACACCGCCTGCCTGTATAGAGTTAGTACACAGATACAATGTAACACCGCCTGCCTGTATAGAGTTATTACACAGATACAATGTAACACCGCCCGCCTGTATAGAGTTATTACACAGATACAATGTAACACCGCCTGCCTGTATAGAGTTATTACACAGTTACAATGTAACACCGCCTGCCTGTATAGTTATTACACAGATACAATGTAACACCGCCTGCCTGTATAGAGTTATTACACAGATACAATGTAACACCGCCTGCCTGTATAGAGTTATTACACAGATACAATGTAACACCGCCTGTATAGAGTTAGTACACAGATACAATGTAACACTGCCTGCCTGTATAGAGTTATTACACAGATACAATGTAACACTGCCCCCTGTATAGAGTTATTACACAGATACAATGTAACACCGCCTGCCCTGTATAGAGTTATTACACAGATACAATGTAACACTGCCCGCCTGTATAGAGTTATTACACACATACAATGTAACACCGCCCGCCTGTATAGAGTTATTACACACATACAATGTAACACCGCCTGCCCTGTATAGAGTTATTACACACATACAATGTAACACCGCCTGCCTGTATAGAGTTATTACACAGATACAATGTAACACCGCCTGCCTGTATAGAGTTAGTACACAGATACAATGTAACACTGCCCGCCTGTATAGAGTTAGTACACAGATACAATGTAACACCGCCTGCCTGTATAGAGTTAGTACACAGATACAATGTAACACTGCCCGCCTGTATAGAGTTAGTACACAGATACAATGTAACACTGCCCGCCTGTATAGAGTTATTACACAGATACAATGTAACACCGCCCGCCTGTATAGAGTTAGTACACAGATACAATGTAACACTGCCCGCCTGTATAGAGTTATTACACAGATACAATGTAACACTGCCCACCTGTATAGAGTTATTACACTGATACAATGTAACACCGCCTGCCTGTATAGAGTTATTACACAGATACAATGTAACACCGCCTGCCTGTATAGAGTTATTACACAGATACAATGTAACACTGCCTGCCTGTATAGAGTTAGTACACAGATACAATGTAACACCGCCCGCCTGTGTAGAGTTAGTACACAGATACAATGTAACACCGCCCGCCTGTATAGAGTTATTACACAGATACAATGTAACACTGCCTGCCTGTATAGAGTTAGTACACAGATACAATGTAACACCGCCTGCCTGTATAGAGTTAGTACACAGATACAATGTAACACTGCCTGCCTGTATAGAGTTAGTACACAGATACAATGTAACACCGCCTGCCTGTATAGAGTTATTACACAGATACAATGTAACACCGCCCGCCTGTATAGAGTTATTACACAGATACAATGTAACACCGCCTGCCTGTATAGAGTTATTACACAGTTACAATGTAACACCGCCTGCCTGTATAGTTATTACACAGATACAATGTAACACCGCCTGCCTGTATAGAGTTATTACACAGATACAATGTAACACCGCCTGCCTGTATAGAGTTATTACACAGATACAATGTAACACCGCCTGTATAGAGTTAGTACACAGATACAATGTAACACTGCCTGCCTGTATAGAGTTACTACACAGATACAATGTAACACCGCCTGCCTGTATAGAGTTATTACACAGATACAGTGTAACACCGCCCGCCTGTATAGAGCTATTACACAGATACAATGTAACACCGCCTGTATAGAGTTAGTACACAGATACAATGTAACACCGCCCGCCTGTATAGTTATTACACAGATACAATGTAACACCGCCCGCCTGTATAGTTATTACACAGATACAATATAACACCGCCTGCCTGTATAGAGTTATTACACAGTTACAATGTAACACCGCCCGCCTGTATAGAGTTATTACACAGTTACAATGTAACACCGTCCGCCTGTATAGAGTTATTACACAGTTACAATGTAACACCGCCCGCCTGTATAGAGTTATTACACAGTTACAATGTAACACTGCCTGCCTGTATAGAGTTATTACACAGTTACAATGTAACACCGCCTGCCTGTATAGAGTTATTACACAGATACAATGTCCCTATAGAATGTCATCTGACACAATGTTACACTTTCACTACTACTAATAGACACAATGTAGCACTTTCACCTTTACCAAATTTTTATCTTCTAGGACAGGGGGTCTATAAAATATAACACCTTTTATCTTTATTAAATCTGTATCTTATAGGACAGGGTGTCTATATCTTTACTAAATCTGTATCTTATAGGGCAGGGATGGATGAACTGTAACACTTTCACTAAATTTTTATATTCGAGTACTAAAGCAGGAGTGGATACAATGTAACTCTCATCTTATTACATCATTGTCCTCTAAGGTAGGGATGGACAAATGTAGCACTTTCCCCTTTAATAAATCCTTATCTTATAGTTCAATGGCAGGGATCTATAAAGTGTAACACTTTAGCCTTTACTCTATCCTTGTCCTCTAAGGCAGGGATGGGCAAAACGTAACTCCCAATTGTAGCCTCCAGGCTGGCAAAGTATCACTGGAGTTGTAGTTCTACAATGTTTGAAGTGTCTGCCTTTTACCTTGCTCCAAAGGCAACAAGAATATTCTTTGTTTTTCTCTTATCCTGATGACACATCTATATTCTCTATCTTATGTTTATACTTATATTTCTTATCTATCTGTGCAGCTATCTATTTTGTCATGTCTTGGCTAGGTTTGGACTGAGTATGTATTGTTCCCTGGGTCAAAGACGATTAGCGCCCTCCATAACATTATCAAGTTTGATCATTTTACTTTCCAGGGAGCAGGAAAAAAGGAAATGAAAAAAGTTAAAAATACCACAGCTTCCATTTAGTCTCTACGTTTTACAACTATGCGGTGTGTTTCTTTGTAACACAATCTAGTGTAACCTTATCTCTGCACTGGGGATGATATGAACTTACTATTTAAAATCTAATTTACAAACCAAGAGTTTGTCATAGGCCTTGGATATTGCAAACTATTATTTATTTATTTTTTCATTTGTTCGTTATGGGCAATACATAAGCCTTTGGGATGTTTTGGAAGTGGTATGTTTGGATTGCTATTGCTAACATACAGTAGGCACATATGTATGCACAAGGCTAAATAAATTTACATTTTCAATGTGTCCAATTAATAGTTTTAAATGCTTTTATAGTGTTAGCTTGAGAATTGTCAGTGATGAAAAAGTTTGCAAACTGATCCTAATTATTTTAGCATGATACTTATCTCATTATAAATATCACTGTAACTTTTAGGAAATAAAAAGTTTTAATAATTTTGTTATTAAGGCTTTATGCGTTTGCATCCTTCTTAAAATGCATTCAGGAAATTCATCTGCTGGAAGTAAATATTTTACTCCAATTTACACAAGACAACTTTTGAGATAAGCATATTTGTAAAATGATATCACTCAAATATTGATTTAGAAAGTTTCTTAACCACAGCAGTAGTCCGTACATTGATAATAAATCAGTCAGGTCAGCAATTTACTAATAGAAACATTTTTAGGAACTGATTTTAAAACATTTGTTTGCATATATTGTGAACTTCCATTTCCTAAAACTGAGTTTTGTTGGTTGAACCCATGATGTCTGGTGGAATGAGAGGTAAATATAGTTTAAAACTCACAAACATGTTACTTATTTACCTATTTAGTAACATTTCTTAAAGACTAGCTGGTCTATTGATCGGGGTTTTATATATTGACTCAATACTATTTGTGGTTTATTCTTCTCTTAAGTGTAATTGAAACAGTCTTTCTTTCTTTCCCTCTTTAGGTCAGTCTGCAATATGGTCTGAATAAGAAGCAAAATGTATTACCCATTATAAAAGATACATCAAGCAATATTGACTACACGTTTGTTGGGACAGTCTACTTTCACCAGTTTACATGTGCAGGTCACTTCGTTACTGCGTTAGCCACTGTTTGCACGCAGCAATGACAAAACTAGAGGACGCAAACCGAGAAGTCAACATGCATTCTTCAATTCGATACCTTGGCTACTTAGCCAGGATAACTTTACTCGTCGCTATTTGCATGGGTCTTTATGTTAGGTGGGAGCAAACGGAGGATTCCTTGATATTAGTAATATTCATATTGGGCCTATTTATCCTTGGCATAGCCAGCATCCTATACTATTATTTTTCAATGGAAGCAGCCAGTCTAAGCCTGTCCAATCTTTGGTTTGGATTCCTGCTTGGCCTTCTTTGTTTCATTGACAATTCCACGTTCCGGCATGATGTAAAGGAAGAAGCAACACAATACTTACTGGTTTCCTCCATTACTATAAGATGTTTGTGTGCACTGGTGGAGAGAATTTGTGGGTGTGTGAGGCATCGCCCCACCCTTTTGACATCTGCAGAATTTCTGGAACTGGTTGGTTTTGCAATTGCCAGCACCATCATGCTTTTAGAAAAGTCCATCAGCATAATATTGCTGGTGGCCGCATTTGCCTTGATAATAATCGATTTACGGATGAAGACCTTCTTTGCAATTCCAAACCTGGTGACCTTTGCTGTCCTGTCGCCGGTGCTGTTTTTTCCTTCATTGCAAATTCCTGTGAACCCATATGCCTTGTCGTGCTTTTTCTGTTGCATCATTAGCGAGCCACTTCTAGATGTGTATTTCAGTGGACTCTCTGTCACAGAACGGTGGAAACCATATTTGTATCGTGGATCAATTTGCCGGAGGCTTTCAGTAATTGCAGTTGGGATAATTGAGATAATCTTTTTTGTACTGTCAGCCTTAAAACTAAGTGACTTAAACCTTTGGTATTTTGTCATTCCCGGCTTTTCTATTTTTGGGATTTTTTGGTTGGTCTGTCATATTATACTTGTAATTACTCTCTGGGGTTTCCATACCAAGCTGAGTGATTGTCACAAGGTGTACTATACCCACAGGCAAGACCACAACAGCCTTGATAGAGTAATGGCTTCAAAAGGAATGCGCCATTTTTGCCTAATTTCAGAACGTCTGGTCTTTTTTAGCCTCATTGCAACAGCTGTTTTTGGTGCCGTGTCCTGGCAGGTAAGCGTGCTTTTTAATTTGTATTTTTTTTATTATTTTTTTACACACTGAGTTATGACCAGGGCCACCTTTAGGGGGTACAACCAATATAGCTTTTACGAGGGTTGTTCTGTTCAGGGGAACCACCAAGCCTAGGCCATATTCCTGAACCCCAAGTGTTTGTGTGTGTGTGTGTATACATATATACACACAGAGGCCCCAGGTGTGTAGTATAATGAAGAGGTGGCACAGCTGACTCTAGAATTCACCTCTGACAGTGTCCTCTCACGAGCCCAGGCTGTCTGAGCGTTGCTGCACTTTGCCATGGCAATGCTTTGTCTGGCACGCAACAGGAGCTGCTGCCTTGCTGCTAGAGGTGTAACATGAAGTCTGGGCCACCCTCTTCAACATACAAGCAAGCGGGAGCCTGCACTGTGCCACGGAACCACCATGGAATCTAGTGTACCCTCTCTCTGGCCACAGGTAAGAAGCAGTGAGGGGGGAATAAAACAAATAAACAAATAGGTATATATAATTTTTTTTATTTTTACAAATATATAAAAATGAAGAAAATGCTTACTGCCCACAGAAGCCCCTATCCTACCTAAAAAATTTATACACACCAAACCCCTCCCTCTTCCCCACGGTAGCATGTTTTAGAATACTTTATGCAAGGGAAATCTTTTTTTATTTCTCTTTCAGGAGAGTTTATAAACCTATGGCGCTTATGCAGCAGACCGTGAACTGTAGAGCATTGGCAAGGGTACTCTAAGTTTTTGCCTGATAGGGAAAAATAGCCAAATTGTTTGCAGTTAAAATTTGTCAGTTCTCCACAAAATCTGGTTTAAGGGGATACTATAGTGCCAAAAATACAAAGCTGTAGTCCTGGCACTATAGATCCCCCTGCCTCCTCCCCACCCCCCATTTTTTTAATTTTTATAAACTTAGGAAGAACTGTAGTTGGAGAGCTTCGCTAAAGGGGGACACTATAGTCACCAAAACAAATTTAGCTTAATGAATCAGTTTTTGTGTATAGATCATGCTCCTGCAGTCTCACTGCCATTTAGCTGTTAAATCACTTCTGTTTATGCAGCCCTAGCTACACCTCCTCTGACTTACACAGCCTGCATGAAGAAAAATGGTTTCATTTTCATTCAGATGTAACTTACTTTAAAAGATTTTATCTCCTGCTCTGTAATTTGAACTTTAATTACATCCAGGAGATTTCTGCAGTACCTACCATGCTATTAGTAGAGCAGGAAATAAGAAATTTTATATTAAACAGAATCTGCAATAAAGGAAGTGTAAAGATTAAATGACTCTTTACAGGAAGTATTTAGGAAGGCTGTGTAAGTCACATGCAGGGAAGTGTGACTAAGGCTGTATAAACAAAGTGATTTAACTCCTAAATGGCAGAGAATTGTGAGACTGCAGGGACAAGTTGTTTTGGTAACTATAGTGTTTCTTTAAAAAAAAAAAAAATTAGAAATGCAATGGTTCCTAGATATAGGGTTCGTCAGTTTTCAATGTATTTTCACTCAGGTTATCAACTTTGAATGTGAGTTATCTGTGGATTGTGTGGATTTATTTAATCTTGTTCAAACGTTGCTGTCTTAGAACTGCTGGCTTGGGCATCTCATTTCTTAAAAATTGCAAGTGCAGTAAATTTATCGCAGCCTTACCGGGAAGCGGAGTATAAAAGCTTGCAAATTGTAATGAGTTTCTGCAAAATATATGCTCTGGTTGCAAAATGAGGCCTTTTGTAATTCACACCCACAGGTTTGTGGTGTTATCTGTGTACTTGTAAGAAATGACTAAAGCACATAACAGCTGGGGATCTTCCTTTTGGCCACTCCTGCTTTAGACCATACCAAAATAAATCCTCAGCGCAGGTGGGGATGACAAATAGCAACTGCGCTAAACAAACAAATACTCGCGCTGCTGTACTATGTATTTAACCTGAATTCAGTGTAAGATTTTCAGTTTCTTGTTGCAAAACTAGGCTCAGGCCTCCTGTAAGAGGAGTAATTCTAATAGTTGTGGTTGTTGAATTGCAGTAAATTCAATTTAATGCTGGTATTTAACTCGTGTCATTTAATGCAGTTCATTGGAAACTTTCTCCAACCAGACTTCTAATTGAACTAACTTCCTCATTCATTACATTAAGCACAATGTCAGCCCGCTGTGTTGGCAGTGGGAGATGAACAACACAGATCTTGCATGGTATATTTGCTCCCTTGATGTTCTTGTTTGGAGACCTATTATCATGGATTAAAGGAGATTCCAATGTGTCAAGATCATAAGAGACTCTGCATATGTAACATGTTCATCGAGAAAGACTAGCTGCATATGGTGTGGTATATTATTTTATTAATGAAAAGACCCCATGTTGTGCAACTCTATACACTGGGTAAAGAAGACAAAAAAAAAAACTCAGGGCACACAAATAACAGAGAAAACAATAGACTTGCTCAAAAAAAGATGACCTTATGTGGCAATAAATAAATACAAAAATAACCAGTGCCCTCTCTACCTTATTATTTATTATTCATGTGACCTGTATAGTATCTAAGAAGGTAGAAATTACTAGTTGTGTGAGTTGAGATAATCTTTAAGTTTGAAGCTTCTATAAATAAGTGTTTTTTTTGTTTTTTTATGTGTTTGAGATCTGGAGATATGAGATTGTGTCTCAGGATGGGTATAGGATATTGCATAAGATTGGGATAGCCAGTGGTAGATTGAGAGCAGATAAATGTTACAGGTCAGAAATGGATAGGTGGGACTACAGTAAGTTGATCTTGATTATCAGAGATGACCTGTATTTTGTGGAGTAGTATGGTAAGCATTGTCTGTTAGAACTAGGATTTTAATACGAATTGGAAAGGATAAAGGAAGCCAGGGAATATATTGACTGAGATCAAAAATGAATTAACCGATCCAAATATAATATTTATTAAACTTGTACACAGCAAAACAAAGTGCAGTTCATCTGAATCAATTAATCCCTCAAAAAATTAAAAAAATTTGATCAACCAAATTTTGTTAATTTGCCGTTTCAGTTAACCTGAATCTCTCTCGTCCACACGAAATGATTCGGATGAACTGGAAATATAGAGAATAAAAAAAGCCTGTGGGGTCAATATGTCCACCATATTAATAAAGGGGAAGGTATAAAACCTACACTGTGCCCAAATCTGCCATGCCACGCTGGTAAAATCAGATCTACTAAACAGTGCAAAGCCAATGGCTGCCTATTGTAATTAGAAACTAGTGTATAGCAGCTGAGTGCCCAGAGCCCTTATATAAAGGCTTCTTGCTGTTTGAAACCTCATTCTGCACCAAGCCTAATTAATTAATTGATTTGCAGCAGGATTTAAATGTGTTTTCATATATATAATATGTAATATAATATTTTTTATTTATTTTTTTTTTTCCAGCGACTAGATTTGTCCCCTCACTATTAGTTTTTAGTCACCCAAAACGTGTACTAATTTAGATGTTGGAGAACCAGAATACACAAGTCTAATGTGTATGGCCTGCAGCATTGTGACATCCAGGTCAAGCTCAGAGTAAGGAAATTTATAGTGTAAAATTGCAACAGTAGATTTAACTTTTTTCTTTTATCCTTTTTTTAAATGAAACATCTTGATATTTCTGTATGGGGGGACCTGTTGGATCTTGACATGGCAGTACATAGGACAGCAGTAGGATTGGATTATAACGTTTCAGTGGTTGGTATTTAGGTTTAGCTTAATAATTCTCATTAGGTATTCTTCCATTATTCAGTAGCATACTCTAAACACCATAACAATGTATGCAGAGGCTTTGCGCCAAATAGGTCTCCTGTCAATGTATTGCTACAAACTGTAGCCTGCTCCCTCTAGCATCCAACGGAGGTAGTTTTACGTCCTTTGCCTCCGATAATCTTTCCAAGTTGTTTATGTAGTGTTTACATGATGAGCATATTCCTTTCCTCCACCAGTTGTTGTTCAATGAAAGCAGCCTTGTTAACAAAACTGTGAACATGGTGGTACATAAACTGATAGCATCCAGGATATGGCTGTTAACATCTTATTGAGCAGGTCTCGGCTGTTGTGATGTGTGAAACTGCTAGTGGGAGATGAACGGTATATTGTATAAACCACAGATGGACAGATCTTTATAGGATGGACCAGAATTAGAAACTCCTGATCACTTATATTGACCACTTCTATTAACCATAGCCACTACATTTACATATCATTGGTTCCTGCGCTGTTAAAGAGCAGCTGTCATTTTAGAATTGTCTTTATTGGTATGTTAATGTATTCCTTATAGTGAGCAAACATGTATTTTCCCGACATGTGGTGGCCGTACAATAAGGGGGGGATGTACTCTTCCCTGGGGCAAGCATCTGAAATTAAAATGAACATAAAAAGTTCCTCCCCCAACAGGTATAAGACACCAACCTGCCATGAACCCTCAGTTTTCTTTCTTGTTCCATCAAGAACGGACGGCATCTGGAGGACAGATCGTGAGGCAATTGGGTTGCTGCAATGGGGATCTGGCCTGATAGCCTCCACGTGGAGAGCTGAGTGGCCACTCTTCAACCTGCAGAATTATGAAGCAGGTATGAGTTTCTTGCTTTATGCAGAGTGCAGTCACCGGCAAAGCAAGTGGGAGGTCATTAGTGGCAGCAAATCACTGACCAATCAAGATGCATGCGCACAGCAGTGGAACGCACGTCCGGGAGGCTATGCGTTTCACCGAAGTTCCGATCTCGCTTTTGCGCATGCGCGATCGGAACTACAGAAAATTGGGCAAAATTTTTAAAATGGTGCCTCTTTAAGCTGGGCGGAGTCTACTGACACCATGGATGCTAGCCAGAAAGGATCTCCCATGTCACCAGCCCCCCCACACGAGTCAGAGGTTTTAGAGGTGAGATTTAATTAGTCTGAAATCTTTAAAATCTTTTTTTTATTCATTATTTTAATGAATTTGAGATGTCTAGTCCTGTCTCTCCTGAAATCATGGATAAAGACAAAGTGACTGCTCCAATAACAAAAAAAAAAGAAGCTACTTATAAAACGAAACAGCTGATATGTAGCGAATGTTCCACACCACTACCAGGTGATACCAAGATAAAAATCTGCATTCAGTGTTCGTCCTTAATGATGGAAAAGTCCAAGCAACAGGACATGAAATAATTTTTATCTTGGTTTCAAGACAACCTTGCCCAAACATTTGAATCTGCAAAATCAAATGTAACAGCACCCGTTCAAGTACCAGTTAATAAAAGGCAAAAATGGAAAAGATCCTCATCTAGATCGGAGCTGTCTTAGGGCAAATGTTCAGTGTCTTCCTATTTTGAAACTTCTAGCGATTCTTCAATGACGGAAATTGGTTTACCACATGAAGAGCTAAGAGAATTTATTAAAGAGGTCAATGTTGCCTTATCTGAAGGATGCCCGAAAAAGGAAATAAAAGAGCCCTTCCAGTTCAACAGCATATTCTGGAGCTTATGTATAGAGAGTGGGAAAAAAAACAGAAAAGAGGGAATTTATATCCCGGCATTTCAATAGCATTTTTAAGATGCAAGGAGAAGACAGGTGGGAAGACTTACCAGTTGTTGACATGCTACTATTAGAAGACTACTATTCCTATTGGGGAAGTCTCTGGACTTAAGGACCCTATGAATACAAGTGCTGAAACGTCTTGTAGGTGCGCATATCAAGCTGCTGGGTTTCAGACTAAGGCAACTTTGACAGGAGTTTCAGTGGCTAAAGCTCAATCCTATTGGATTCAAGCTTTGGAAGATTGTCTAATAGAACACCAAGACAACGATCTTTCACACCTGTTCCTCAATCTAAAATTATCCAATGAATACATGCTAGAAGTGATCACAGAAGTGATTAAACTATCTGCTCGTGTTATGGGATTGACTTTTGTTGCTTGCAGAGCACTCTGGCTTAAAGCGTGGACGGCTGATACAACTTCGAAGTCTGCTCTTTGTGAACTTCCACTGGAAAGGAAGAAAATGTTTGGATCTCCTTTGGAAGAATTAATCTGACAAATATCAGAAACCAAGAAGGCCCTTCTTCAGGACAGGAAGTATTCCTGGAAGCTCAGATATAAGAACTTCCAGTATTAGAACCACAGGTTTTTTTCGTCAACAAAGAAAAGATCCGAAGTTTGATGAACATAAAGACATCAAAACAGAGCAAAAAGATTCTGACGCCATTCAAGTGGGCGGAAGGATGCAGCAGTTTTTTCACAAATGGAGAGACCACTGCAAATCCATGGAATGTGAATCAGGTTGCAAAAGGATTCAAAATAAAATTCAGATATTCCTTATATCCTCTGACCAAATTTCCTTATATCTTCTTACCAATCAAAGCTAAAAAACCAAGCACTTTTTTATGCTACTGTAACTTTATCAAAAAAGGTGTTATCGAAAGAGTTCCAAGGATTCAACAATATCAGGGAGTTTACTCTCGGTTGCTCCTGGTCCCAAAACCAGATATGTCCTTTCGTTCCATTCTGGATCTGAAGGGAGTAAATGGCATGAGTCTATATCAACACTTTAGAATGGAAACCATTGCTCTGTCATGCATACCATTCAGAAAACCATTGGATTTGAAAGATGCGTACCTGTACATAGCTATGGAAGTAGGCTCAAGAAAATTCCTGAGGTTTGCCTTAAAGAAGGGTTACAATGTTCACCACTTTCAGTTTAAATCCCTACCATTCAGACTCTCCTTTACAAAAGTCCTAGCGCCTATCGCCGCGCTCTTAAGGGAAGAGGGAATCACCATTATTCCCTACTTAGACGACTGGTTCATCAATCCAAAATCACGAAATGCTCTGGTAGAAGATGTGAAATACAGTCGCCATACTAAAAGAGCATGGTTGAGTGATAAACCTAGAAAACTCACAACTGCAACCTACAAAGTCACTTGATTTCTAGGTTTTTTTTCCGTTTTTTTTTAATCAAGTTAGACACTCTGTCAATCCACATGACTTCTCTGAAAAGAAGAAAGATATGGAAGCAGATCACAGACTTTCAGGAAGAAATAACATGCTCAATAAGGAAAGCCATGCAGGTGCTGGGACATCTCACTTCAACTATCCCAGCAGTAAAATGGTCCAGAGCAGAATCAAGACAGTTACAGTGGGAGATTCTTAAAGTGGTGCAAGAAAGATGACTTGGATACTGTAATAAATATTTCAGATCCTGTAAAAAGACAGCTGAATTATTGGAAAAAGACCAGATTCCTTTTAAAAGATCTATCTTTTCAACCAAAAGAATGCGTCATAATCCCCACAGATGCTTCACATGTAGGTTGGGGAGCGCACCTGCAGTATCATATGAGGCAAGGGACATGGTCTGCAGAAGAAAGAGAAGAATCATTAAATTTCAAAGAATGAATAACCGTTTTGTATGCTAATCTTCAGTTCACACCTCTCATTGTGGAAAAACTGTAAAACTACAATCCGACAACCAGACTACAGTTGCCTACCTCAACAAACAAGGAAGTACAAGGATAATAAAGCTGCACTTTCTTTGCACAATTATGTCTTTGACTCAACATCATCTAGAAGACCTATCTGCTACTCATATAAGAGGGATGGACAACATCATTGCAGACAACCTTAGCAGATCAAGATGGTCCCAGAACGAATGGTCTCTGAATCCAGTCATTTTATTTCTCAGATTGTGAAGGTATTTGGTCTGCCAGTCATAGACCGTGTGGCAAGATGGACAACGCAAAAGTGGAAACGTCTGCTTCCCTCTTCAAGGCAGACTTTCCTCTGGTTCTTGATGCCCTGTCAATCAAGTAGAACTTCAGCCTCTCTTACCTATTTCCCCCGGTAAACCTTATTCTATATATTTTGCAAAAAGTGAGTACAGATAAGGCAGTTGTACTGGCCATAATTCCATACTGGTCAAACCGGGGCATGTTCTCAGTCTTGAGGACAATGGCTTTGAAGTACTGGAAACTTCCAATTTCAACAAAACTCCTGGAGAACAAAGGAATTCCAATAGAAGTATTAAGAAGATGTTCAAATTGACAGCTTGGCTGCTGCACGGCTAATACTACATGACAGGGGCATTAAAAAGGAAATATTCTTCTTAATTCTACCAGAAGATCTACCACTGGTATATACTTGAAAATTTGGGCGAAATTCCTTCATTGGTGCAAGTATCCTCATTGCCTAACACGTTCTCCTTCGACAGATATAATTTAGCATTTTCTGCAAGATGGCCTCCAAGCAGGTCTTGGTTTATCAACCCTTAATGTTTTAGTATCAGCTCTTAGCCACTTCCTGGTCAAGAATTTGGCTTATTAGAAGATTTTTCAAGGCAGTCAGACTGATCAGGCCTCCAAAAAAAAAATTCTTCCCCTCTTGGGGATCTGTCTTCAGTCCTAAAGGCTCTTTGTACTCACCCATTCGAACCTTTGGAGGAAACATCCTTAAAACTCTTGTCTCTAAAAAACGCATTTTTGGTGGCTATAACATCTGCAAAAAGAATTTGAGAAATTCAGGCTTTGTCATCTTCTCAAGAATTAAAAAAATTTCTTCCAGACAAGGTTGTTCTATATCCAAAACCATAGTTTCTGCCTAAGGTCATCTCTTCTAGGGCTCTTAATCATCCAACTTCCCTGCCTTCTTTTGGTGATCCGTCAGCCTCTGGTCTGGAAAGAAATTGGCACATGCTAGATGTCGGAAGATAACTTAGAACCTACTTAGACCGCTCCTCTGCAATTAGGAAGACTGGTCTTCTTTTTATTAATTTTTTGGAAAGTATAAAGGTCATACAGCCTCTAAGTCTACTCTGGCTAGATGGCTCATGGACACTAAAAAGTTGGCTTGTGCTCCATCGAATCTTCCTTTGCCTACCTCTTTGAAAGCTCATTCAACGAGAGCCATGACTACTTCTTGGGCTGAAAAAGCTCAAGCTTCGCCACAAGATTTCTGCAGAGCAGCTACATGGCCTTTATTCAACACCTTCGTAAAGCATTACAGACTAGACGTATTCTCTGCCTCTGACGCTGCTTTCGGGCATAAGGTGTTACAAGCGGTGGTTGCATAATTCCCTCCCAAAGTTCTGGGATCTTGTTATATCCCTATTGTACTGCCACCATATGGCAGGAAAAATGAGTTTTACTTGCCGTAAATTCCTTTTTTCTTGATATGGTGGCTGTACAACACTCCCCCTTATTATTAATAAATTTTAAAATTTGCAGTATTAGGTCTCTGATGTTTTATTGTGACGAACTGAGGGTTCATGGCAGGTTTGTGCCTTATACCTGTTGGGGGAGGAACTTTTTATCTTCCTTTTAATTTAAGATGCTTGTCCCAGGGAAGAGTACATCCCCCCTTTTGTACTGCCACCATATTAAGGAAAAAAGAATTTACGGTTGATGTTCCAGGAGGGATAAGCCAAATGGCAAATGATTTAGGTAAACTAGAAAAATGGTCAGAGCTGTGGCAACTGACATTTAATGTGGATAAGTGCAAGATAATGCATCTTGGGCATAAAAACCTTAGGGCAGAGTACAGAATATTTGATATCCTACTAACCTCAACATCTGAGGAAAGGGATTTAGGCGTTATAATTTAGATAATTTGAAGGTAGGCAGACAATGTAACAGAGCAGCAGGAAATGCTAGCAGAATGCTTGGTTGTATAGGGAGAGGTATTGGCAGTAGAAAGCGGGAAGTGCTCATGCAATTGTACAGAACACTGGTGAGACCTCACTTGGAGTATTGTACGCAGTACTGGAGACCGTATCTACAGAAGGATATTGATACCTTAGAGAGGGTTCAGAGAAGGGCTACTAAACTGGTTCATGGATTGCAGGATAAAAACTTAAAAGGAAAGGGTTAAAGTATCTTAACATGTATAGCTTGGAGGAAAGACGAGACAGGGGGTATATTATAGAAGCATTTCAATACATAAAGGGAATCAACACCGTAAAGGAGGAGACTATATTTAAAAGAAGAAAAACTACCACAACAAGAGGACATAGTCTTAAATTAGAGGGGCAAAGGTTTAAAAATATCAGGAAGTATTACTTTACTGAGAGGGTAGTGGATGCATGGAATAGCCTTCCAGCTGAAGTGGTAGAGGTTAACACGGTTAAGAAGTTTATAGGGACTCTCCAGTGCCAGGAAAACAAACAGTTTTCCTGGCACTGCAGGTCCCCTCTCCCTCCCACCCCCATCCCAGGTTACTGAAGGGGTTAAAACCGCGACGCGGCCGCGACTGGGGAGACCTAATGCGCATATAATGTGCTATAAACCTGGAAGTGCCCTCTAGACAGCCACTAGAGGAGGAATTAACTCTGCAATGTAAATATTGCAATTTATGAAAACTGCAATATTTACAGTTGCAGGGTTAAGGGGTAGTGGGAGTTGGCATCCAGACCACTCCAATGGGCAGAAGTGTTCTGGGTGCCTGGAGTTTCCCTTTAAGCATGCGTGGAATAGACAAAAGGCTATCCTAACTATAAGATAAGGCCAGGGACTAATTCAAGTATTTCAAAAATTGGGCAAGCTAGATGGGCCAAATGGTTCTTATCTGCAATCACATTCTGTGTTTTGATGTAAAATTAAAGTTTTATGAGATATGAAAAAGTTAATGTAGAAATCCACACTTCTTTATCCTGTTCTGTTGTTTACCCAGACAATTGGCATAGAGGAAGCATACAGAGAAAAAGAGAAATGAAACAATATTTTTATTCCTCCTGCTCATTTGCAATGTGAGCTCTTGCTGTGCCAGGATTTAAATGGGTTGTAATGTCATAATTTAGTTATTTTTAAAGGAACAATCCAAGTAGTGGTTACGGTGCAAGGAGTGTTCTGGTGCCGTCTCGATGTAATCTGTCAAACCGGTTTAGCATTATTTTTACACTTACCTGGGTCACAGCAGGTGCCCATGCTTTATCTAGTCTTCTTAAGGCTGGATTACAACCTAGGCGTTTGTTTAGTCACAAAGAGCATCATTAGGCCACTCTCAACCAATGAATGAGTTTAATAAGTAGATGTGTTGGGGGGTGGAGGGGAAACACTTGTATTTATGCTTGTTTTCAGAATCTAGTCCTTGTTTTGTGGGTTTTTTATTTTTTATTCTTGCCCTTATAGAGAACCTCTGTACACCTAACTTTTTCTAAATTAAGTTGTTATGGTGCCAGAAGGTCCCTGGTGTTGGCTCACTTTTAGTGGTTTAACCGTTCACAAATGGTGTAACCCCAAAATCTCCACCCTAGCGCCGGATCGTTCTGCCTCCTCTAATAACTTCTTGCTGAAAAGCTTAAAACCGGAGCCTTGGACTGCCGCAGGCATGGGTGCCACTGATTGGCTTAGAGCAGCTTCTCATTCATTCCATTGCTCCCCATTAAAAAAAAAAAAACAGCTTGAGAAACGTACATTATTTTCTTTTAAAACATATATCTGTGTAATTATAGTGACCATCTGTTTTGATATTTTTGCATTGTTTGCTACCTCTGTGAAACATAATAAACAAAAAAATATATCTATAATACCTTATAACAAATCTAAAACTTTAACTGTAACTGGCGCGTATGGTTACCTGTTGCTAAGAGTATGTTTAATCTGTTTTTATTTGTATTGTAGCCAACCCGTGGAATCTTCATGAGTGTGTTCCTGATTGTCCTTCCTCTTGAGTCCATGGCTCATGGGCTCTTCCATGAACTGGGCAGCTGCTTGGGAGGGACATGTGTTGGCTATGCAGTGGTGATTCCCACCAATTTCTGCAGGTATATTTAATTATATTTCTTTCCATCTGGGTATGAATTTCATAAAGGGAAGTGAACATCTTTGGATTCTAGAGTGGTGAGACATACTGAATTACGTGTGAATCAGACCAGGTTATTTGCAATGTGACTTTTATACAACATGACAACGGTCTATACTGGGTGCTAGCTCGAATGGCCAACAAATTAATTACCGTTGCTACTGTCCGTTTCTAAGTAGCCCCGTAACCAGATATGGGTGCACATCCTGTGTCCTTGACTCCCCTTGGTCGCTGACTGTGGCTTGGCTCTGGATGAAATTCACATCGCAATAGAGGAAGTGAAAGCTCCTTTGCTATGTCAGAGTGTGGGGGATCGTTTTGTAGTTTGGTTTCTCAATTTTAGAAATTACTGCACTGCAGTTATAAGCCACTCTCATCAGGGAGAGTGGGTGCAGACTACTCTCTGCATAATGCAGTGATTCAAAGCTCTTTTGGTGTTTAGGGTGACTGTTTATTTAGTTTGCTACTAAATATAGCCCAACCTTCCGAATTATAAATTTACCAATTCCAGACAGATGGATCAAAATTCCTGCTCAGATTTTTATTGGATAAATGAGTATAAAATTATTTTACATACTCCACGGGGAACAAATGTGTTTCATTTATCCTGTTGTTCTCTGTTTGCTGTATTTTCACTTCACACTTGAAATATCAATAACGGTGCATATAGCAAAATGATTGTATTAACAGCAGATACATTTATTTATTTATTTCCTCCTCTATTTTTATTTCCCACACCTGTAACCAGCCCCAATGGTCAGCCTATGCTTCTTCCACCGGAACATGTGCAGGAATTAAATTTGCGGTCCACAGGCATGTTAAACTCTATCCAGAAATTCTTTGCATCCCATATGATAGAGACCTATGGTTGTGACTACTCAACAAGTGGACTCGGCTTTGATACGTTGCATTCAAAACTGAAAAGTTTTATGGAGTTGCGGACATCGGATGGCCCCCGACACGATACCTATATAATATACTACAGTGGTCACTCCCACAGCACCGGAGAATGGGCACTAGCTGGTAGGTTGTTTTGCGCTTTTGTGTTTCTTAATCTGAATTTAAAGCACACTCCAGACACCTGATATGTAACAGGGCATAATAAAAAAAAAAAAAAAAAAAATCATCCAGGATAACAGCTACAAAGGCAAATTACAGCTGTACGCTTCCCAAAAATCCTGTCAATGTTTTCTAATAAGAAATCTGCTGTGACTGTCCTTTCGTTGTGAGGGAAGTAAAATGAATACTAGACACACTAATAATTAGAAGACATTCCTTGCAGGTATCTGGTACTCGTTAATTTACTTTCAATTAGTGAAATTTGTGCAAAATATTGGGTTATGTGCACACGTATATTTACAGACTCTGTATTTCTCCAATTGAAAACTAAAAGGAATGGGAGAGAGTGATGGCAAAATAATTTGGCCGAAGTGGGGACGCTGTCACTGGTCCTTTTTCACCACCTGCACAAGCCATTCCAATGTTACTTACTAGACTTGTGCACAAAACCCTTTGAGCTGCGTTGAAATGCCTGTCAATCCATGGGCGAACAAACGGATTCTTTCGGATTAACGTAACAAATCAATTCATTCATTCATGGATTAACAGGCATTTGATTTATATGGCACAACTGAATGGGATTAGCAAGACGACTACTTACCATGCGAAGACTAGTGGAAAAAGCCTGGAAAGTATACCCACTACACTTCTGCATTCACACATACACTGGCCCTTCATACATATACAGGCCTGCATTCACATACTTGTTGACCCTCCATACATATAGACCCTGGCATTCACACACATAATGGCCCTCCACATTCATACACCACTGCATTCTCACACATGGTGACTATTCACACACACACATACTGACCCTATACACACTGCAATAACGCTCATGCAACAACTCTACTCGCTTAAACCCTGAAGTAGATTTATAAAATATATAATTGTATAATTGATGGATTCCAGAACCAGCTGATTACATGTCTGTAAAAGAAAGAAGTGGTTATGAACCACTGATCTATATAATGCAAAGGATAGATGTCCATCCTGAATTTGGGCTTAAACATAAAATCCAAAAATTGCCAAACTGAGAATAACATAGTAATAGTACAGTAATGCATATTTCATTTTGGTATTTTTTTATCCATCAAATGGCGATGTACTCTGATTTTTGGCAGGGTATTGATGTTTTTATATTTGCTTGATGAGTCTTCTGTTAATCCGTGGATTATTTGCAGAGATTTTCGTTTTTTCGTCTGTTAGAGCTTTTGAATCCAGCCATTACGCACTGATGGCCAAGCTACAGGGTTTTTGCTAATAAAGCAGTGCACAGTTTATCAGTCAGTAATGTGCTCTGACAGATGGAACATACAGTCATTAGCATTTTTTTAATCTAGAGCATCTTTGGACCTCTAGAGAAACCTATTAAGAATTGCAAAATTAAAATGTTAACACTCTCCTAGCACAGTAACATTCTAAATATTTGTTTACTTGTAGCAAATCTACAGATCTCATTATTTATCTAACGTACAACTGATGGGTTTAGGAGGTCTTGAATGCAGTTAGAAAAATATTATCCATTGTAAAATAAACTGGTGACTAGCCAGCCATAACACAGACAGAAAAATGAATGCCAGTGCTAAATGAGTATTAAAATATAAACATGGAATTTATTGCATAAATCAAAAAAAAAAAGAATCAGATCAAATTCACCAATTTCTTTGGCTCAGTCTCTTGCAAATTTTCAGGTTCCAATACACACGTGACAATATCCAGATGTAAACTCCATTTCTATCCATATCAGTGTGACCCCTTAAAAATTATCACCTGAAATAGAAGAAATAAAGTACATAGTGTAGATTGATTTAGCCAATACAAATTGCCAATTAAAACACTAACACAGAAAAATGTGAGACATTTCTAAGCTCACACAAATAGCAGTTTAGGTAATACGGGCCAAATGTCTGTTACTGCTCCTCTCCGCACAGCATGCTGTCCACCAGGCTCTGTATCCGGAGGTAGCTGCCGCGGGCTGGACAGGAGGCTGACTCATTGATTCCTCTGGTCCTTTACCACCTCCTTGCAACGACTCACTGCTATTAATGTCCGCATAGAAATAAGTCTCAATGCTTTCATTGTATTGATTAGCCCCTTAGTGACCAGACCATTTTTCAATTTTATTACCGTTAAGGACCAGGGCCGTTTTTACATTTCTGCGGCGTTTGGCTGTAATTTTCCTCTTACTCATTTACTTTACACACACATATTATATACATTTTTTCTCGCCATTAAATGGTCTTTCTAAAGATACTATCATTTTCATCATATCATATAATTTACTATAAAAAAAGTTTTTTGTTTTTTTTATAAAATATGATGAAATGTTTTTCAAAAACACACTTTTTTTTAACTTTGACCCCCAAAATCTGTTAGTCATCTACAGCCGCCAAAAAAAAACCCATGCTAAATAGTTTCTAAATTTTGTCCTGAGTTTAGAAATACCCAATTTTAACATGTACTTTTTTTTTTTTTTTTCAAGGTATAGGTCTATAAGTACAAGTAGGACATTGCTGTTTCAAAATGTAACACTGTTATCTTTCATAAATCTCTGAATCACACCTCACATGTACCGTACATCTTTTTTTAAAGTAGACAGCCCAGGGTATTTAATATGGGGTATGTCCAATCTTTTTTAGTAGCCACTTAGTCACAATCACTGGCCAAGTTAGCATTTTTATTTGTTTGTGCGTTAAAAATGCAAAAAACAATGATGAATGCTAACTTTGACCAGTGTTTGTGATTAAGTGGCTACTAAAAAAGACTGAACATACCCCATTTGCAATACCTTGGATTGTCTTCTTTTGCAAATGGTATGCCATCATGGGAGTAATTCTCATTCCTGGGCTACCATACGCTCTCAAAGGCAACATAACCAATCTGGCAAATTTCAATGTGAAAAAGAGAAAAATCAAGCCTTATGTTTGACCCTGTAACTTTCAAAAACACTATAAAGCCTGTACATGGGGGGTACTGTTACACATCAATCTTGTAAGGAGTTAATAGCACAGCAGTTTAAGTTTTGTTATCCCAAACCTTCTTCACTAATTGAACTTTTAGAATACATCACATGGGACCCTTTATCTGGGACATGGACAAGAAAATGTAGAATTTTTTTTTAATTTTTTTTTTATAAATCATTTTCATTTTTAACACATAAATATGGGTATTATAAGTGTAAAATAAGTGTTTTCTGTAAAATTTCATTAGCAGGAGAAGAAAAAGGAAGTAATGATGTTTTGGAAAGTTTGTAGGTCTTAAGGCAGCAGTTATATAGTATATTTTCTTGGTTAAAACTGATTGTTTTTGTTCACAAATGAGTACATTGCTGTGATGTATTTTAAAGGTTACTCCAATTATCAAACAGTGTTTTAGTCAGAGTATTCCTTTTTATATGTGTTTCCCTCCCACCCACCCAAAAAAAAAGAGCGGGGAAAAAAAAGCTATACACACCTCCGTTTCAGCGCCGAGGTCAAGTTCTCTCTCAGCCAGTTCTTCCTCTGCTGACGTCTGAGGGGAGGACATGGCCATTTACATTTATTAAAACATTCACACTTATTTTTTGTTGTTTATTTTCCTTTTACTTTCCAAACAACCTGCAGGTGGTGAAACCTTGCGATTTGAAACCCTTCTGGAGTGGTGGCGTGAGAAAAACAGTGCCTTTTGCTCTAGGCTGATAATTGTATTGGACACCGAGAGCGCACAGTCGTGGGTGAAAGAAGTCCGTAAAGTCAATGATCAGTACATCGCCGTGCAAGGGGCAGAGATGGCAAAGGTTGTAGATATCGAAGAAGCTGATCCTCCCCAACTGGGTGATTTCACTAGGGAATGGGTGGAGTACAACTGTAACTCGGACAACAATATAAGTTGGTCTGAAAAGGGGCGTCTAGTGAAGGCAATATATGGAGTCTCCAAGCACTGGAGTGATTATACTTTACATTTACCAACCGGGAATGATGTCACGAAGCATTGGATGATCTATTTTCCTCGCGTCACGTACCCGCTTGTTCATTTAGCCAATTGGTGTGGAGCTCTGAACATGTTCTGGCTGTGCAAAGTTTGCTACAAGTGTCTGAAGAGGTTGAAGATGAATTGGTTTCTTCCAGCAGTGCTTGACACAGGACAGGGCTTTAAACTTGTTAAATCCTAGCCGACCCTAAAAGGAGCTGGGTGCCACTATACGATAGCAGCAGTCTCCCAAAATCCCTCAAAGGGTTATACGCTAAAGTGTGAATTGTAGGAAATTCAAACCGAATTGCGAGTTTTAGTCTGAAAATTACCACACCAAAAATATATTGGACTTGGATTTGGCCGGTTTGGCATTTCTGATCTAAAATATTAAATACAACTTGAATTTCCATCAGTTCACTTATTAGTAAATAACCTTGTCAAGGTGTTTCACTGCACTAAGAATTTCCAAGGGAATTAAACATTTTTTACCTAAGTAAGCAAATTTGTAAAATAAAATAATATATAAATAAAATGTCAAACTCTATTTTTCCAGCTCGGTTATCTCGGGCTAAAAATTGCAGTTGCCTTGTCAATTCCTGACAATTACCAGTTTAGTGCATAACTCTTGTATTTTGTCCTCATCCTAAAATCCTGTTACTTCATCAGTTGCACTACAATACTACAACTGTCTCAAAATAGCTTGTTACTGACTTGTATATGTATTGTATGTTTGTTATTTTTTTTTTTTTTTATTGTTTATTTTTTCCTTCATGTAAAGGAAGTGCTATCTGCAGTATGGATTCGTCTTCTGTATGCGTGCCAAATTTCGAAACAAATTAACCTTACGAATGACAGTAGGATGGATAGACATTGTCTTTTTGTTTTTTTTGGTTTTTAAATAGCCATTGAGATACTCTGTAGTTTTGTCCACAATTAAAATTACTTTGGACGTTCCGCTAAAAAAAAAAGTACTCTATTTTTTTATGTGCATGATACATGATGTTTTTGTTTTACTCTGTATCAAGTTACCCTATTTGATTTGTTTTAACTATGTGGGAATTCATGCCATCTTTATAACCTTTATGGCCCCACATTGAGTGTGTTTGTGTAGGTTCTACAGTTGTTTGTGTACAAGAAAATGTTTACTGTCTTTCACTCTGTGCAGGTGGCATCTGATCATGTAAGGTACTCCGGAAGAACTCAGGGATAAAAAAGTCCTGTCAATATTAAAGGACGCACATATTATTATTTCTGATTAAGTATGTTAATTCACGTACTTAGCCTATATGCCTTAACCCCTTCATGATAAGTGATTAGACAACTTCCCTTTAAAGTACAAGAGTCCTTGCACTGCACCTATCATGAAGAGGTTAAATGCAACATATTTAATGAAATCTATGCAAATTCCTAAAACAATTTCAACATGTGTTCAGTGTTCTTCTACATGAGCATGTTTGTATGTATTACTGCTTGCATTTATATATATTTCATCTACAAATTTTGGTTAAAATTGCATTTGATAACACAAAGCTTTATTTGTCTTACTGTAAATAAAATATTTTATGAATGTATGATTTCATTCATTTTAGCCTTTGAAATATTTTATATTCTAACCAAGCTGTTCCCAGAATTAAAATTGACTTCAGAAACCGTTTGCGTGCGTGTGTATGTATGTATGTGTATATATGTGTATGTGTATATATATATATGTATATATATATATATATATATATATATATATATATATATATACACACACACACACACACACACACACACACACACACACACACACACACACACACACACACTCTCGTAAAAGTACATGTCCCTATTTATCATCATTGGTTAATTCTTTTAAGCTACTAATTTTTTTTTAATATAATTACATCTACACACAAAACATGAAAAAACACACCTCCACCAATCTGTGATTAGTGTGTTAAGTTTTTTTTTTTATCTTGTATGACTTGCACAGCTTCCTCTAAGGATATCCCAGACAGTATCATTTAAACAAATATAGCCAAACAAATACAGAGGATGCAGCTGTAGGTCTACAAGAATAAAAAGGTGCAATAGTGTAATACAGTATAAAGTGCAGCTATGTGCGCTAAACAAAGTTGCACTCACAAAATGTCTAGTCACCTTAAGGTGCCTTCTATTAGAATGATGGGGGGCTGATGCAGGACTCCTCTCCTGCTAGTGTCACACCAATATAGACAGCAGGACTCAGGAATATTATTCAAAAATAAGATCTGCTTTATTTGGTATATCAAATATAGGAAATCTATACTTAAAATAAAAACAAAACAATATTTGGTCCTACACGTTTCGTCCCACTGATGGGCCTTCCTCAGGGACCCAAATGAAATATAAACAGCAATATAAGAAACAGCAGTAAAAACAATTCTGTAACAAGGAAAAAGCATGAAACCCTCCCCACCCGAGTCCTTCCTTATGTATGAGCAGTGTTATTGATGGTCTAGTTCAGGGGTAGGCAACCTTTTAGCAGCACTGTACCGATGTAGGATTGTGATGTCCCGTAGCGTGCCGGACCTATTTTTTTAAATTGAGGTGTGTATGCTGCCGTATTCTGCTTGTGTTATACTGTAATTGCTTTGTATTGTTGTATTTGTGCGTATATGAGCTATTATATTGTATATGTTTAAAAGTAGTTTATGGTATTGTGTATGATACACATGAATGTGGGCTGTGTATGAGGGCTGCTTGTGGAATTGTGTGGATGGATATGTCACATTGTGTGTTTGGTAGTGTGTGTATGTGTGGGGGCTGTTTGGGGTATTGCATGTGAGATTCTGTGCATGTATGTGGATTGTTAGCGGGTTACGTTTGTGTTATTTGTATGAGGGGAGGCTTCTGCATTTCTGTGTATATCTAGCAGTGTGAGTGGGTTCCAGTGGAGACCAGGCTGGCCAGGCACAGGTCAAGGACAGGAGCTGCAACAGCAACTGCAGGCTGCTCTGCTACAGTGTGGATTCCCATTCATCTGAAATCACTTACTCTATGTGCTTTAATGCATAAATTGAGGATTGTCCTTCACCACCTTTTCGTATTAGCAGGTATCTGAAGTTTCACTGGGACTCCTGATAGACCACAACCTGTTTGTCTCTAGCAGGCTTGAGTGCCGTGCAAAGACACCTCGAGTGCCGTAGGTTGCCTACCCCTGGTCTAGTTGGTCTTTCCAGCGCTGATCAGCTATTCCAGCTCCTCGTAAATTGATTTTTCCGGGTTTGTTATGTTGAGTGACGTCACTTCCCGTGTGCTGCTTCCAGCGGTCGTATCTTGATGACGTGTGTTACAAATGGCGGCCATCTTGAGCTTCACACTTGGTTTGCAAGTAGTCACCATGGTAACAAAGTTCCAAGTCTGCAAGGCTCAAAAGTTAGAAAAACAAATTTATCATATATATTTCAACAGGCTGATCTAATAGTTGTATTTAAAACATTATCCAAAGCATATGTTTTTATACCATTGTCATAGTTAAACTAAAAGTTTAATTTTATTTTTTTTATTACTTATTGTATTAACTCTTATTTGGACTCATAGTATAATCCGAAGTGTGTTACTGCCCCATAATTACAACTATAAGCATTCCCTAGAAAACAGATTCTATGGTTCTTCCTTTTTTTCTAAATCGATAGGAAAAAAAACAAAAAAACACAAAATAAATACATTAAATGTGCTGGCAACTCACTGATAAATATACTGCACAGGTACATCGTCACATAAATTAAGATTTCTCATATAACTACATGTCTCTATGATCATCCGTTAATTATCTTTCAACCTACTCATTTTATTTTTTATTTATTATAGACTCATCCCTATTGCCTCCTCTCCAATGTGGTCTAATGTGTTCAATGCCAAAGAAAACAAATCTTGCCAATTAAAATATGGTATATAAGGTTAGTTCTACTAAGGAATAGAGAAATGCAACATAGTGCAATTTAGTACACAATAGCCACTCACTATTATTCAGTTAAAATTAAGCCATAAAAAAAAATATGTATCAGGAAGTTCATCTACAAAGTCCTCACTTACACTTCAATTTCATGTGTAGTGGGAGGTATGTGATTTGCCCTGCTTGGGCATGCGTCTCAAGCAGGGCAAATCAAAGTAGGCTTCAGGTAGAGCGGAGGACAGGTAGGAGGCGGGTGTTACATGAAAAATAACACCCACGAAGCAGCACTGGAGCAGAGGAAAGTGAGTAAATCTTAATATTTTACATTGAATACACCATGTATCCTTGTGATATATAAAGCAAAAAGGACAAATTCAAGTAATCGTGGCTCTAAGAACAGAACAAGGAACTTATTGGTAAAAAGTAGCTGCAACTCACACAGTGTACAAACCCAAAAAAACACTCACTACAATAAATATACAAATAAGGTGTGCAGTGTCTTTAAGACTAATATATATTAGGAATAATATATAATATTATATGTGCAATAATATTCCGCTAAAGTGCATATATTATATAATTTTGTGCAAAAAACTCTTGTGCAACAGTGCCAAAATGAACTTATTCATATGTAGAAAGGCCATTAGGCCTGAATTTGTGGGAGGAGTAAGTCCCCTACTTAAACTCCCAGCCCCTACTCACCGCTGCCGCTCAGCTGATTGTCCTTAGCAACCAGCACTTCCGGTCCAGCTTCCCGCCAGAACTGTACCTGTTTCCAGCAGCCAGACGCCCTGTGCAATCCTCCGTCCGAGGTCCTTCCACTCCGTTTCTCTCCGGTCGAGGTACCCGACTTCCGGTCACGTTCGCTATTTCCCCGCCGTTCGGGCCTAAAAACGTAGGAGTAGGCTCCCTCTTTCGCATTTTCACGAATACACGCTTTTCGTTAATATCTCCATTCGCGCCAAAAAACGCACGAACGTTCGGCTCATTTCGCTATCATTTAAAGCATTTTCGTACGGAAACAACCGAATATATATTTCACGTTTAAGCTCATTATTATCTGTATTCACTTTTTCTGTTCGGTCATTTCAGCACCAAACTATTCGTATGGTAAAATTCACGAACACCATCTTACTAATTTACATTCGGTTATTTCTATTCTTTTAAGCCAAGCATGCATAAGTTCTAATCACACTATCCTACTATTATTTATTCCTTCATATCAGTTTTTGGTTACATTATCTGGTTAACTACCAGCCCTGTGTTTTCCTACCTTGTTAAACCATTTAAAGTATTTTTCTGTAATAAACATAATGTTTTACCATGGTTCATAACTTCATACGTGTCTAAATACAAGCTATACCATTCTTTCCAAATAACACTCAGATAAGTCATTTAAACACTATTTACAAGTTATACCCATTACACATAATCCGTACTATTCCTTGCACATAAATCACGCTGTCACATTTTGGCTTTTACAGATTGCATCGGTCTCTTGCTTTTCTGCATAAAGTTGTTATTTCAAGGTCCTTTTATTACAGGAACAGGTATGGTTTATTATCACCTTGAGTTATCAGGTTTTATCAATTATCTTCACATCTATTGCTAAATATGGAATTTGTCTTGGTTAAACCCTTAGATCCTGTATTTATCTAAGCTTCCACCGTTTCTACGCAGTTAACCTGCCACGATTAAACAATCTCTGTACTTAAAACCAAGGTATAGTTCACTCTCTTTTCAATACTAGACCTCACGCGGTCTCAACTCCATTACTACCTTCCCTCAGGCTTACGCCCAGGATACGTTATCTCTTTACTACTTGTCTACACAGACTTTCGGTCATACGGCCATCAGGCTCAGAAGACACCTAAAACCTGACCCGGTACTCAGCCATACCTTCAGGTACTTACGTCCTTACTCAAGTACGTCCATTCGCTACCCCAAGGCCTCATTCTGCCTTCTCACTCATATCCAAAATCATCCCATTCCTACACCTTAACCTCCCAGATCCCTCAATGCAGGATCTCACGTGGTGCCCCTAACAAACCTTCCCCCAATACTATTCATACGACATCACGATACGTATAAACACATCAACATCTGTCTTAAACCCCCAGGATTCTTCCTCAAAGACAACATTAAGACAAGACTCTCTACACTTATCAGGAGGCTCCAGATACCATTTGCGACCAGTCAAGGTTAGTATCCACACACCACTCCAGTCCTCTAACTTTACCCTTAAGCATACAATCGAACTGGCTATACGGCACAGGCTAATGCCTTAGCCCACCCTATCAGGAAATCTGATCCCGCGAGGCCTACCACCCCCACCCCACCTCAACACGGAGGTACGGCCCCACGCCCAAATCATAGTTATAAGCCTCGCATGCCTTACTACAGGGCTCTAGTTAGGGCCTCACCTGTCACGGCCACACGTTTTGATTTCTCTTATCGTCACCGAGAGGCCAACATCCCGCCACCACGTCTGTGGCACCTACGTCATAAGCCAAATCATAGGTAGAGCCTCTCACCGCCACTTGGCATTAGCAGGGCCTCACCTATCCAGTCATTCAATAGTTAAGTTTTTCGCCTCGGCATCTAGCATTAAAGTCCAGTTCTTCCAGACACACCACTCCCCATACCCCCCCCCTTTCTTACCTCACTCCCCTTCTAATATATCTTTCACATAATCATTCCTTTTTAGAATGTCCCAAGAACCAATTCCAACCGAAGAACTGATAGAAGAAACACCATTCACGCCAATCAGACCCGTGTCTCCAGGCGAATCACTTACTCTTTCAACCCCCACGTCCTTGAGAGCATGGACTATTCCCAAAATCACGGCCGAGCTTAGGCTCAGGGGAATCCCCTTTCCGGCCACAGCTAGAAAGGCAGAACTTTACAGGCTGCTTACCCACCAAGTCCCCGAGCCTCGGCCGGGAACTAGCTCTCAAGGACAACCACCAAGAAACAGCACGGCCACCCAGGATACCCTGGCAGATATCTTGGCCAATCTACAGACCCTCAATAGCAGGCTGTCTAAGGTGGAGAGCGCCATCTCCTCCTCAGGTACTAACACCGTAGTCCCAGTCTCTACCACGGCTGTACCTGCCATACCTACATGTCCCTCTATACTCCCCCCTCCAGCACCTGGCACAGCCATCACACCTTTCGAGTCACCAGCACACTCCGTCCCAGATTCTATCAGGAAAGATATCCTAGACGGGAAGGATGTGTGTCTGGTGTCTTTACTCATAGCCTCTCAGGATGTACTCGAGAACAAGGCATACAATTATGGTGACATTTCAGTTGTGCTCAAAACGAGGGATCCCAGGCTTAATAAAAAATTGTCTATCCCACAGTTTGTGATAGCTTTTGGGATATACCGCGACGTCATTTGCACGGTGTATCCCCATAGGAGAGAAGAACTAGATCTCTATCTCCACAAGGTAGTGGATCTAGGCATCAAGTACGGGGGCTCTTCCTTCTATGACTACCACAAGTCAGTTTCAGCGAAGGCGGCGACCCATCTCAAGCAGTTCAACATTAGAATGAACTGGGGTCAGATGGACACGGAACTTTTCTGTCGCCACTTCGCTGGACTCAGGCCCCCGGCTTGTGCCATCTGTAATTCTACATCCCACATGGCGGACTTATGTCCCGTCGAACCAGATCCCACCACCTCCACTCCCACCCCTCACCCCACGTTCACACCTCACTCCTCTTTCACCCCTCACAACAAGCCAGCGGGTGGTCTCCGGGATAAGCTGGGTAGGCCCATCTCCTTTTTAGGTAAAGCACAGGTGTGCAATAATTTCAACGCAGGCTCCTGCAGTTTCAGCGCCTGTAGATTATTGCACATCTGCTCCATATGTTTCAGGGCACATACCAAGACCATGTGTCCAGCCAGGTTGTCACCAAACAAATGACTAACCGACATAAATATCGACAACCTGGTTTTTTATCTAAGGTCTCACCCCAGCAGGCACTTAGTGGATTTTCTCACCACAGGTTTCTCACAAGGGTTTCACACAGGCATAGTAGCCATTCCCCCAGGTACACTAGAATGTCCTAATCTCCAGTCTGCACGTTTAGACCCAGTCGCTGTAGACACTCTCATTTCCGCAGAAACCACAAGCGGTTTCATGATCGGTCCTTTCACCTCTTCACCGTTTTCCTCCTGGCGCACTAACCCTATTGGTATTGCTATTCACAAATATTCTAATAAAAAACGTCTCATTATCGATTTATCGGCACCGCACTCCTCTTTTGTTCCAAGCATAAACGCACTCATTCCAGCAGACGAATTCTCTCTGCAGTACGTCACCATCGACGACGCCATACAGTCCATCATGACATCTGGTAATCGACCCTGGCTCAGCAAAACAGACATCACTAACGCCTTTAAATTACTGCCCATACACCCCTCACTCTGGCACTTACACGGTGTTAAATGGCGAGGGTATTATTACTTCTCAACACGACTCACTTTTGGTTCTCGAAGCAGCCCCAAACTTTTCGACATTTTCGCAGAGTCACTATGCTGGCTGCTTCTGAACGTCATCAGGTGTCACTCCGTTATTCACTATCTAGATGACTTTCTACTGATAGAGCCAGGGTCATCAACACCCACAGCAATCAATAGTACTACCGCACTTTTTTCCACACTGGGAGTCCCTTTGTCCCCAGCCAAAACTATAGGACCCACAACAAAGTTGACCTTTTTAGGCATAGAGCTCGATTCTGTCAAACTCAGAGCCAGCCTTCCACACGACAAACTTTCACGATTGAGAGGGGAGATAGACACGTTCCTGCGGAATGACGTTTGCACCAGGAGAGAACTTCAGTCCCTTCTTGGATCTCTGAACTTCGCCATGCGCATCATTCCGCAGGGAAGGTCTTTCATTTCCAGACTTCTTTGCCTGCTCCACGGAGTCCCGGACTCCGGCACAGTTTCTTTGGACCCCCACGCCAAGGCTGACTTAGCTATGTGGGGGAAGTTTTTGAAAGACTGGAATGGTATCTCCATGTTTATCCCCCTCTCTCCACCTCTTCACCCATCATCCACACAGACGCAGCAGCCAACACCGGTTTCGCAGCCATTTTCGGGAACCACTGGTTTAGGGGCCACTGGCCCACTGAGACGGATGCCTTGCCAGGATTCAGGGAGACCTCAGCCCTATTTGAAATTTACCCCATTGTGGCGGCCGCACACACCTGGGGTCATCTCTGGTCCGGCAAGGCAGTAAAATGCTACTCAGATAACTCGGCAGCTTGCG